TCCCTGCCCCGACTCACCTCTGGGATGGACAATCTGTGTAGGGCCCTCCTCCCCTCCACACAGTCTCACTCATTCTGCTCCCTCTTACCTCTTCCCGGACACCATCTGTTTGCCAGCTGGGCCTTGAGGCCCCTCTTCTCTGTGTGCAGGCTGCTGTCCACATGCTGCCCCAGCTGTTAGACATTCTCCTGACCTTTGGGGGAAGACTCACAGAGTGATGTCCCCTGAGGTGTCTCCTCTGTTTGCTCTGGTAGGGAGAACTTGTGGGCCCTGAAGTTGTTTCTAAAAGGCCTCCCGCATAAAACTGCCTTCAGCGGTGGGCGTGACCTGGGGTACCAGAGGCTCTCCCTGCAGACTTGGCCATCAGACCACTGTCACCGTGTGCGGCCACTCCCAGCCCCAGCTCCTGATGCACCGACAGCAGTCTGCACCGGCTTCCTCCGGGGAAGCAGCGGAGAATGAGCTGCTCCCCAAACCGGCAAACAGCTCACCGAGCTTTCACACTAGGCCTGCCTTGCTCTGCCTGGTCAGGGGTCTTGTGTGCGTGTGGTCACTGCCAAGCACAGAAGGCAAGGGGCCTTCTGTCCACCCCAGCCCCGGCTGCGTCCCTCATCCACACCCCTGCTGAGTGCGGTGGGGGTCAGCTGGGCAGTCACTGCAGGGTGCTGAGCCGTCAGAGCAGCCTGGGCCCCTACGAGCCAGAGGCCCAGACAGCATACATCCACCCTGCTTTGTGGTGTATGTGTCTTTGGGGGTGCAGATCGGTACTCACTAGTGATGTGCTGGGACCCCCAAGCGGCATGAGCCTCATCGGCCAGTGACCCACGTGGCCTGTGGGTGCCGCCAGATCAGAACCAGCTGTGTGCTGAAGTGTTCTGAGCCTGCACAGGTGACAGACCTACGCCTGACTGGGTGCAGCCGCTGCACCTGGGGGCCTGCACTTGGGGGCCACACACACAGGCGGTTGGGAGCTTCCAGTCCCGTCTGGTAGCAGGACGCCTAGGGCACTAAGTGCTACCTGCCCCTGGTTCTGTCTCTCAGCAGAGATGAGACGATGTGAACCTTGTGTGAGGGTCTCAGCGCAGCAGGACCCCTTCGCAAGGACTGGTCCCCTGGGTCTGGCCTTGGCCGCTGGCCCTGGGGGGAGGGGGCAGCACTGAGCTGTCTCTTCTTCACTCCATAGGTGATGGGGCAAAGTGGCTCATCTTCCTCATCTCAGAGTAAGCATCCCCCCGAGAAGAGGTAGCTCTGCCAGCCGGGCCTGCTGGGGCTGGTAGAAAAGGGGGGCGGTTAACCTGCACACAGGAGTCTCCGTGAGCCAGTGACAGCTGGCCTCACCTGCGCCCTGCTGCGTATCATGGGACACCCCTCCAGACCTTCACGAGACGGGGACACCTGTAACTTCGCACATTCATGTCTGTTTCAGAAAGCACGGGTCCCTTTGGCTCGTGTTCAGGAGCTGCTTGAGGGCACTCTCACCTGGGGGCGGAGACCTCGAGGCCCCAGGCCCGCTGCCCAGGGGACCCTGGCCTTGCTCCCTGGCCACAGGGCTGCTGGAGGCAACCAAGTCTGCCGAAGTGGCCTCTTGGACACTGACTCGAGCTGTCCTGCCAGCCGCAGCTGCCCGCCGGACCGGGCCTCCCCAGAGTCGTGTCTTACGTTTCTTGGACACATCACCAAAGGGAACTCCAGTTATCCTCGACCGTCGTTCACAAGCTTCCCAAGATTACGTAAGAGCAATCTTCATGTTTTCACGAGCTCTGTTGAACAAGGTAAATAAACGGTTTCTTTGCCGATTTTGCTGTCCTGGTATTTGGCTCTGCCAGTCATGGGCCTGTGAGGCTGTCAGGGCCACGGTCACCGGGCCCGTCGTAAGCCTCCCATGGCGTGCTGACACCCCTGCCCCTCCAGCCCGGGGCCTCAGCACTGACCGCGTGTCCTCAGGCTTCACCACCTCCAGATGAGGCGGTGGCCCTGGGAGGGTTAGAGGGGCTGACTCCCTCCCCTGAGCAGTCTGAAGCAGAGCCGGTGTCACCTCGGGCCTCACTGTGCCTGTGCGCAGGCTGGCCGTCTGCCCCAGGCTGGGTCTTGCTCTCTGAGAGTCCGGTCTCAGCAGCAGCTGAGTGGGCCCGTGTCCTCACACGGCGCCGACGGCAGCCGGGGCGGCCCTGGTCGCCAGCACGCCCCAAGGTTCATGAGCCGGTGACAGACACCCCAGCTCTGGCCTCCACCAGGGGAGAACCCATAGCTCAGAGTGGTGTCAGGGACGGCACTAGACTGCGGGTCCCTGTCTGGTGGGAACCTTTCCTCCCCCTCCTCCCTGAGCCCTCTTTGGCGCTCCACCGAGAAGGGATCAGGGCACCGCACACACACACCATTTCTTTTACTCCTGCAGAGCAGAGGCCCAGCCCACAGTGCCCATCCACCCGTGTGTCGGAAGCCCGGCCGTTTCTAGGCCACAGGGAGCACGCTGGGTGCCACCAGCAGCCCAGTTAGCAGAGCTAATTTCAGCACAGTGTCTGGTCTCTCTGGGGCCGCTCTGGGTGTCTGCAAGGTGGCAGTCTGCTGGAGAACAAGCTGTCCAGCATCCCAAGAAGCTGAGAATCCTGGCTCGTCGCAGAGAACAGGCGTGCACCAGCGGGCCTACCACACAGAGTGGTGGACTCTGTTATTCAGGGCTGCGGTCACCACGAGGACCACGTCTGAGCCTGGAGAGTCCACACAGCAGCAGACGTGGCCGCCGCCCAGAGGCTGGAAAGAGCACAGAGCTGGAGACGGCAGGCCCCCATGCCCCACGCAGCTCCCGCGTGCAGGCCTGGCTCCCGCCGTCGTGCCGACACGCCCTGCTGCCCCGCTGCGCTCAGGTGCCCCTGGGTGTAGAGTGTTCAGACAGCACCCACAAAGCAGGGCCCGGAGCAGACCCCAGGCCTTCTCCCACGGGGCCCTCCAGACGCTGTCAAGCCAAAGCTTGGTCCTGGGTGCCCTGTTCTGTCCAGTATGAAGAGAAGGCATGACGAGGTGGCAGGGTCGGGCTGGCCCAGGTCTCAGCCCAAACCTTGTTCCAGTCCCGAGGACCATGATGCAGCCCCCCGGGGTTGCACACAGGGGTGTGCAGGGCGGAGACCGGCACGGCCGGCCATCTGCCCTGAGGAGGCCGTGACCCTGGCTTTAAGCCCCCCACGCCCCATAAATCCATAATAAAATTAATCCCTCATTTTCCTGACATGCCCCAGTTCCAGAAGGGCCTCCAGATGTATCACCGTGTTGCTGCGTGAGGGGCCAGGGAGGCCCAGCTGACCCCCTTTCAAAGAACCACATCAGGAAGGACTCAGGAGCCCAAAGGGGTAGGGGACACCACATCCTGCCTCCTAGATGAGGACACAGTGACTAGTCACAGGCCGCCAGCCCAGAGGGGCCTGCCAGCGCTCCCGCTGAAGGCCTAGTCCCGGCCTCTGCAGGGTGGAGGTTGGGGAGCGGGGCCCTTCCGGCCTTCCACGGCTGCCGTTGCTGCTTGGGGGCCCCCCCGCCCAGGAGGCAGCCCGGTGCCTGCGTCACCCAGTGGCCCCAAGGGCAGCACTCCCCCGAGAGCCGGGCAGCAGGGCCTGCCAGACACACCCGGGGCATCGGGCTGAGGAGACCAGGATGTGGTCCGTCCTGGAGCGGTGGAAGGCAGAGTGAACATCTGCTTGGGTCCCAGCACGGGCCGGCTGAGGAGCAGGCAGAGAGGGGACGGGCCTGCAGGGAGGAAGGCCCCCTCCCTCCCCAGAGCCCCCAATGCTGCTCAGCCTGGCCTCAGGCACCCCTGAGGCAGACATACCCTCCGGAGGCAGCACATTCCCAGCGCACCCCAGGGCCGGCACAGAATAAGTCTGGCTATTCCCAGCCCAGGGTCAGCGGAAGCATGGACGTATGCCCAGCCCTCAGGGCAGCTACCCAGTCAGCCCACCGCCGGCCTGGAAATGGGGGACACAGGCTCCCACCTACAGGTGGCTCAGCTCCAGGGCAGGACCCTGTCAAGGGCCTCAAGGCCTGTCAGCAGACACTGCTGAGGCCCCTGGGGGTACAGTGTCCTGGCCGCATCCCTGTTACTCCCACCTGGCCTGCAACTCTAGCTTCTCAGGGCACGGACGGCTACAGTACAGTCTAACGGCTCCAAGTCTTTGGTGCCAGCCCTCCATGGGAGACCACTGTCCACGGCCAGAGCTGACTCGACACAGCCATCCCTGCTCTTCCACAGGCGGGGGCTGACGAGCGTGCTGTGTAAGGCCAAGTCCCCAGGGTAGACCCAGCCCAGAGGAGGAGGACAGAGGGGAGGGGGTGGTGCCAGGGCCTGGCCCCAGGTGGCAGGAGTGGGCGGGGCACCTGCCTGGGCTCTGGCCGCCTGTGCGCCCGCTCACTCATTCACTTGGCCCTTGCTGTCACTCACCATCACTTGGTCCTTGTCAGTTGGCCCTCGCCGGCACCTTCCAAGGTAGGTCCGATGAGCGGGTCCCCGTGCAGAGCAGGAAACCGAGGCGGGGGCTTGTGGGACTTGCCCGGGTCCCACCGGGCTGACCTGGACCATCCTAACCCCCAGATGCCCCTGCCTGTTGGTCTTGGAGCCGAGGGCGGCAGTCCTGCGCGGCCCCACAGGCCGGACCCCACCGGCGGGGAAGACCACCTCGGTGTTCCGGCGGGCGGGGCGGGGCGGGGCGGGGGCGGGGGCGGGGCGGCCGAAGGGGAGGGAAGCCGCTTCCTGCGCCGTGCGCGCCGCCCGCAGTGCCCGCCGAGCGCCGTGGCCGGGGGCGTCGCGGGGCGCGCGGGACGGGCGGCCGGCTCCGGCGGCGCTGCGCGCAGGTAGGGCAGGCAGGGCAGGCGGTGGGGGCTGCGGGCGAGGCGGCTGCCCCCGCCCCCGCCACGGAGAGCCCACCACCACGTGGCTGTCCCTGCCAGGGTTGGGGATGCTGGACTGGGGGTTTCTGGGAGGGGAGCAACCGCATGCCCCCCATTGGCTGCCCCCCCCAAAAGGCAGGTTATGCTCTCCTGCGGCTCTGACCCTTCCAGGACTCCTAGTGTGGCTGCTCTGTCCCCAACTTGCAGGGCCGAACCCCCTGCCAAGATGGAGATTTTCCAGCGTGGAGTCCCCTCCACAGGCTGGTGCAGACAGGGTCAAACTCCTGTCACCCCCTGCCCACCCTCCCAAGGTCCAGAAACCCCGTCCCCTGGCTCTCAGCCTCCCGTGATGGGAGCAGGGCCTGGGGGCCGGTGGGGGACTCCCTGGGCGGCTGGAACGGGCTTTAGTGGGGGAGGCAGGAGGCAGCCTGTTCTGCCAGGCTGGTGCACAGGCAGAAACTGGGCCAGGCGGTTTGCTAGTGCGGGGGGCAAACACCGGGCAGCAGAAGGCTGTAGGCACTCCCAAGTCCCAGACCAGCTGTGCAGCCAGTGACCCCATAACCCTGAGCACCTACTCCGCCCCCAAACCCCTTGGCTAGAGATGCAAATTGCAGCCAAATCCTCCAGGCCCCAAGATTAATTTCCCTTGGGTAGGCTTCCCCATGCAAAGCGGAGGGACAGCCCATGGCCCAGGGAGGCCAGGCGCGGCCCCACCCCTCACCTGATGGTCTGGGGTGCCCCTCTGCAACAGGGAGTGGGAAGTGGGCCTTGCAGTTGGAGGGTGGGCTTCTGGGAACCCTGTGCCGTGTGCCTGGTCCTGCTCTTGCCGAAACACTGCCCCTTCGCTCTCCAAGAAACCAGGCCGTGGACAGGCTGACGGGGGTGGGAGGGGAGGACGCAGCACTGAGCAAAAACTTTCCTCTGCAGTTAATTAACCCCATGGGGGAGGGGCGGGCACACGGGGCCTCATCAGTGGGGCCTCAGCTCCAGGCCCAGCACCCTGTGGACCATGTGGGTGCCTCTGGGGCCCCCAGGATAGGGGTGGTACAGCCCCTGGGGGCCTCCCCAGCAGCAGACTGGGCATCGGTCTGGTGGGGAGGGAGCCGCTGGGGGGTGACTGCAGGCTGGCAGCCCCCTGGCTGTCTCTCCCTCCTGGGCTCTCCAGCCCCAGGCTGGCCACTTCTGAAGCCCCCGACGCCATGGAGGAGTGGGATGTGCCCCAGATGAAGAAGGAGGTGGAGAGTCTCAAGTACCAGCTGGCCTTCAAGAGGGAGATGTCGTCCAAGACCATCCCTGAGTAAGTCCCCGGGACCCCCCAGCCCAGGCCGGCTCCGATCTGCATGTCATTTCCCTGCCCTGCGCTCGTTTGCATGAGCCAGAACTATGGCCCCGCACCGAGCCACTGGGCAGCACTTCTAAGGAGCCTGGCACCCACCTGCTCAGCCTCGCCCTCCCCACCTTGCCCACCCACAGGCTCCTCAAGTGGATCGAGGACGGGATCCCCAAGGACCCGTTCCTGAACCCCGACCTCATGAAGAACAACCCATGGGTGGAAAAGGGCAAGTGTGCCATCCTGTGAGGCCCCCGCCCTGCCCCCAGGCTCTTGCTCGTGTAGGGAGGACGACTCTATAAAGGTGTGACTTTTATAAGGACTTTCTGAGAGTGTCCTGCTTTCGTACATTTCCTAACGGAGAAAACGCAACCCGACAGCATGAAGCGTGGTCCCTGGGGCGTCCAGCACGGGTGGAGGTACCCGGCCTGGGTTCCTGGCGGCGGGGGCAGCCCCCGCTACAGCAGGTCCTTGATGTGGACACTGCGCCGCACAGCATTGGAGACACCCTCCTTGAATCGAAACCAGACATCACTCCTGCCCACCGCCGTGCCTATGCGCCGCTCTGCCGCATCCGTCTCCGGGGCCGCGTCTCCTGTGAAGGCAGCATAGTTGTTCTCCTGCCTCCCCCACCTGCCCCCGCCCCTCCCGCCCCCCCGCCCCCCCCGCCCCTCCCGCGCCCCAAGCACCTGCACTCGGGGTTGCCGCTCTCTTGATGACCACACGACCAAAGAAGTCCCTCTCGGGCTGAAAGGGGCAGGCTGGTCAGGCTCTCAGGAAAGACCTGTGGCGGTCACTCCCTGCCCTGGGGGAGGAGCCAGTGGCCCCAGGCTGTGGAAGCAGAGGCCCACCTCCCCTCCCCAGGCCCCCTGAAGCAGACTCACCCAGCTCGTGTCCCTCGGGTCCCTCATCACCCACCCAGTAGCTCCCTCCTACCACAACCAGCAGAGCCCCCTCTTGCCTACAGGGGAAGCTGAGGCCACAGGGAACCCTCCAGGCTAACCAGCAGACAAGAAACAGGCCCCCCGGGGCCAAGAACCAGCGCCCCCCACCCCGTACCTTCTCCTCCAGGGCGGCTCTCTCCAGGATGCGCTCCAGCCGCCGCTGCAGCTGCTGTTCCTCACGGCCGCGTCCCCCTTTGTCCCCAACAGCCCCCGGCAGAGCCTTGGCCCCTAGGGGAACCCCGTCTACCTGCAGACCGAAAGTGTGGTGAGGGCTGACCGGGCAGGGCCACTTGGGGGACGCTGTCCCTTCCGACGGCCCCACCCAGAGCCCAGAGCAGGCTTACCGGGGGGCTGTCCCCAACCCGGGCCAAGGCCTCCGCCCGCCGCATCTTCTCCATTTCAATCTCTCGGGCGATGAGCTGCTTGGCCTGGTAGGTGAGAGGTTTGCGGGCGGGCAGCTCAGGAAAGCGACACACCTCCTCCACGTTCCTGCTCTCGGGGTGGGTCAAGAGGCGTAGGCCATCAGCAGGGACAGGCAGGTGCTACCTACCACACCGCTCCCAGACGCCACAAAGCAGGAGCTGCGCTGTGGGATTCAGTCTTGGTAATACAATGCCTGTACCCCACAGCAGCAAGGGATTACCCACCCCAAGCCTGTTTCCCCAAGTGCTTGTGGGCGTGAGAAGGGAAACGTCCCGGGGCTGCAGAATGAAGAAATGAGACCACAGGGCAGGGCCTAGACTCAAGGCCGGGGCTGAGCACTGAGAACTGTCACCATTACCAACTCCTTGCAAATGGCACAAAGAGGGATGGCAATGGTCCCCTTGTTGGGCAGCGGGGCCCCGGGGAACATCTCAGCCTGGGGCAGCAGAGCCCTGGGGAGCTCCAGAGCCCATGGAAGCAGTGCCTGAGGGACACTGAGGCAGGCAGACCCTCTGCAATAAGGGGGACACCCCGCCTCACAATCACACCTGTGTGCAAGCCCCAAACTGGGACTGAGCCCCTGCCACTGCCCCACCGACGGGAAAGTGAGACTCACACCTGGCCAAGATTCCTGGCCCACCTGCCACAGCATCCAGAGCCCAGCCTGCCCCGGCACCCCCCCAAGTGCCGCAGACTCACGGCTCTAGCCTGTAGACATATTGCCCATCGGGCAGGCGCTCCTGGCGGTAGGTTAGGCTGTAGGCAAGCATGGTGCCCACGAGGCTGGCCAGCTGCTGCTTCTCACGAGTGCTGTACAGCTGCGTGCTCACCTGTGGACACGGATGCTGAGCATGGCCAAGGCCCGCCCCCCTTAGCCGCCACACCCCCACTCCGCACTCCGGACAAGGCACTCACAGGGCGCAACTTGGGTGCAAGGATGTCCAGAATCAGACAGAGGGCATCCAGGACGAGAGCCTGAGGCGCAGCTCGGCTACGGGTGGCCGGTGCGACGCCTGCCACCAGCGTCTGGATGAGGTTCTGTGTCCGGCTCGTCCGGTTCTGGGCCTGGGGTGGAGAATGAAGTGGGTCTAGGTGATCTAGGATCTCTGGGCCAGACCCCAGGCCCAGGCAGGGTGCGGGAGACACACCTCCTGCTGGCTGCTGGGGAAAGCGATCCTCGGCACGTGGCTGGACGCAAAGAGCAGGTGGAAGGCCACCGGCAGGAAGGGCAGGTAGCGCAGCAGCTGGAAGCTCTGGCCGTGGTGCGCAGCGCGGCTCAGCAGGTCGTCGAAGGCCAGCCAGTCGAGGGCTGCGCACACGGTGCCCAGGCTGGAATCCCGCAGCCGCAGGCGCAGGAAGTTCTCAAACAGGCCCTGGGGGTAAGCGGGCGGGCGGACTGCTGAGCACCCCCAGCTGTGGCCCCCAGCCCACATACAGGCACCCCCCTCTGCCGGGACCCTGCGCCTCCCACCTGCCCTGCCAAGTCCAAGGTCTCTGGGACAGCAACTAGCACCAGCAAGTGGCCCTGAAGCCCCAAAGGAGGAGCCAAGAAGGCCCAGCCTGCCGCCCCCACTGTTCTGACCAGAGCCCCGAGAGCTGCAGGAGAAGAACCCCCGGCCCATGACTGCCTCAAGGAGCCCAGCCTCCAGGACCCACCCCCCCTGAAGGAAGCTCTGCGGCCAGGACGGAGGGCACAGAAACCCCGCTCTCCCTCCCCGTGAGACCCCCATGCTCTCGGGGGGCAGATTCCGGATTTACTCAGATCCACAGCCGCTAATCCAAAGCTTACTCAGGCAAACAGCTTAGACCAGGCTTCCCGGGGGCGGGGGGTACCTCTGCCACCTGCTCCAGCCCCAACTTCACCCCACCTGCCCTAACGCACGTGTCCGTTGCCACAGCTCACATCCAGAATGGGGACTCTCCCACCCCACTCACATGTCCCAACCAGCAACTGAAGTGACCCCAGCAGTCAGATGACTGCCCCACCGCGCACCCAGCCCCCCCCCCCTCCCTGTCAGCCCACGCCTGCCACCACCCACCCCCCGCCCCTGCCACCAACGAGTCCCTCCTCCCGGGCCTCTGTCCCTGTTCGCCATCACCTCTGAGAGCTCCCTGAAGCCCTATGTCTGCCACCCCTCGCTCCCATCCCGTTTCTCCACGAGCATGACGGCGTCTGAAGCATCGCCTGTCCTCTGGGGACAGAGACACGGCCAGGTGCTAGCAAACTGGCAGGTCTGAGAGCGTTCAAGGCCGAGCGAGATTACCTGGACCACCTTCTCGTGCTCGCCTGCAGAAGCAGCCACGTGCAGGATGTGGTAGAACCGCTGGGAAGCCGAGGTTGAAGGTGCCCCAGCAGCTTGGGCCCCCAGACCCAGGTGCCCATCACTGAGCAGGAGCATGTGTGGGGGCAGGGCCGGGTCCTGGCCCCAGCGTTGCCTGCAGGGGGGGGTCAAGGCTGGAATGGGGCCCCCCACCTCGTCCCCCTCCGTGGTGCCGCGCTCCCCGAAGCGGCCCAAGCGTCTGCACACAGACGATGCTCTGCGGGACCCGGGAGCACCCAGGGCCCCTGCGGCACCCAGGATGGCGGTGGAGGCAGGCCCTCCCGCTTACCTCTGCACCCGGGGCAGCTGGAACACCTCCTGCCACACGGAGAACAGCCCCTTGCGTTGGTCCTTGAGGCCGACCCGCGTGGTCCACACAGCATGCACGCTCAGCTCCCGCTGGCCCCGCCCATGGAGGAACTGGACACGGGGCAGAGCTGGTGAGAAGCAGCCCTCCCGGCCGCCCCCAGGCAGCCGCCCCCACGCACCCACCCACCTGCAGCGTGTTGACGCAGGCACGGATGTCGTTGTCGGTCTTCTCACACAGAGCGGCCAGCGCGCCAGGGTCGGCCCTCATGCCCTGCCGCAGGGAGATCTGCAGGGGGCGGGAGAGTGGGCGGCCGCGCCCCAGAAACCCACCCCGAGGCCCCCACTTCCCCAGAACACAGAACGATTACCACATATCCCTGCTTCGAACCACATGCCCCCAACACATCCTGGGGCCACCTGGGGGATGGGGCCCTGGATACGAGAGGGGATGGCAAGGGAGAAGAGCACGGGGGCCAGGACAGCAGGCGCGTCCCCCCACCCCGTAGTCAGCCACGGGGCCCCTAGTCACGTGCCCCACCCCAACCGTCACCAACCTCCCGCAGCCGCTGCGCGAGCCTGGAGGACAAGACGGGCGGGAAGTGCAGCAGGAAGGCCTGCTGTCTCAGCTGCCGCAGGGCCGGCACGAACCTGCAGGGCACCGCCGCACACAGCTCACGGCCTAGGCAGGGGCGTGGCGGGGGGGCCACAGCCCAGCGGGCAGAGGCAGCCGGGTGGGGCTGGGGGTGCGCCCTCCCTGGGCTGGTGCCCTCCTGCCAGGGCCCCGACACCCCTCCCGCCCAAGCACCCCCCGCGCTCACTGGTCGTTGCAGATGCAGATGATCGGCCTCATCAGGACCCCCCCCTCAGCCCGGCGCCGCCGTCCCCCACTCGGGGGGACCGGACCCCCAGACTCTGCATCCTGCGGGCCTTTGCGGTCCAGGATGTTCAGGAGAACATTGACGGCAGCCTGAGGGATGTGAAAGGATGCTGTGAGCCGCAGCCCGTTGCCCACCCGCCTGTCCCCCCAGCTGGGGCCCCCAGGAGGCCCACCACGGGGGCCCCGTCGATCTCGTCGATGACCAGGCAGTTGGGCTTCCCGCCGGCACCCAGCACCGACTCCATCTGCGTGGCCGCTTCAATGCACGTGCGGAAGGCCTCGGGGCTGCGGTCGTCACTGGAACCATGAGGCCGGGGCAAAGCCGTCAGGGCGGCACGGCCTTGGCCAGACAGCGACCAAGGTCCCTGACCGGACGACCTCCCAGGGCGGAACCCCCACACCTACATCTCAAGGCGAACCCCGCAACGAGCCCTGACGCAGCAAGAGCTCCTCTCTGCCGTCCCCGCCTCCAACCCACTGGGGCCTCAGGGCCACGTCACGACGGAGGCTGGCCTCCCTGCCCCTCACCTGGCGTTCATCTCCACCACGCAATACCCAGCATGCCGTGCAATCACGTGGGCCAGGGTGGTCTTGCCAAGCCCCGGGGGCCCACAGAGCAGCGCCACCTGAGGCCAAGACAACACACATGCCCATCTCCTACAACCTGTCACCACTCGAGGGACCCCCCCACGCCCACCTCGACCTCGAGGCTGAAAACCCTGTCCCGAGAGGCCTGCTACGAAGGGATGCACGCCCAGCCCCGCTCTGGTGACCGACCAAGAAAGGACCCCCGCATGCTGATGCCTCACACAGGACGCGTCAGAGCGAAAGTCGCACGTGAGACGAGGAACGAGGACGTGCGGCAAGAAGCACTGCTACTGCTGGCATGTCTGACCCCGAGAAACCCCCATCACCCTGAGCATCCTGGGAAGGGCCAGGATCCTCCAGAGAGCACACGCTCTAACCGAGCCATGAAAACAGACTCAGAGTCCGACTCCCGGCGCTGACGTTCCACGCCGACACACTGGTGTTCTCAACGCCCCAACCGCGGGAGCACCAAATGTGCCTCAGGACCCCGCGAGGCTGCGAAGGCACCGATGCTCGAAAGCACAGCCGCAAGGTGCGGGGGAGGGCCTCACCTTCTGCCGGGGCCGCCGGCTTGGGTCCAGCTCAGCCTCTAGCATGTCCTCCAGCACCTGCTCATGGCTCTTCCATTTGCTGGTGCTCGGGGCCTCTTTGCCACCCCGGGCCAACTCCATGCCGGGCCTCGGCCTCCTGGCAGGCCTCTCTCGTCCGAACACCACCAGGTCCCACAGCTTTAACCACTTGAGGAGGCAGCGGTTAGTGAACTGCAGGAAGAGAGGCACGGCCTGGAGGAGCGGCCAGCACGGAAGACCCCCTGTGCCTGCCCTTCGGATCAACCTGCTGCCGTGAGCCCTGGAAACACCCAGGGAGACTGAAACTAAATGACAAGTGACCAATGAGCAACAGAGGGAGGCTCATACCAAACTCTCCAGACCTACAACCCTGGCCCGTTCAGGCCCCCCCCCCACCTTCCCCAGGAGCATCCCCACATCGGCTTTTATGAGAGCAAGAAAGGAAACAGGAAACAGAAATTCCGGGTGGCAGGGGCAGGGGGCAGGTATAGATCCCGACCCAGATCACGAGTGACACAGAGTGTGCCAGCCCCGTGAGGGCTCAGTATCCCCATCTACAACTCAAACGTGCAAACCAAAACCACCTCTTCTGGGGCGCCTGGGGGTCCCAAGCAGTGAAGCGTCTGCCTTCAGCTCAGGTCATGATCTCAGAGCCCCGGGATCCAGCCCCGCGTCAGGCTCCCTGCTCCCCTTCCCCCTCTCACACTCGCTCCCTCTCTCAAATAAACAGAACCTTTAAAAACCAAAAAGCATCTCTCCCATTGCTGACAACATGAGGTTTAGCTGAATCCTGCACCTTCTGTTTGTTGCAACAAAAAAGCCAGTCACGCTTGAACAAGAATAAGGTCTCACGTCGTCACTGAGCAGCTCCGTGTAGGACCGAGGGGCAAACTCGTCCACCCAGAGGCAGTGCTGGGACTCGGCTTGGTTGCTGGCCAGCTCTTCCTCAGGAGCCGCCAAAGGCTGGACCTCCTCCGACCTGAGGCTGGAGAACATCGTGCCTTTGGAGGGACTGTGCGCCCCCGACAACAGGCGGGAGGTCAGGGCTGGAAGGGCCCCCCGTGTCACCTGCGAAGCGTGTCTGAGAGTCGACGGGCCTCCTCGAGCAGCTGCTGCCTCCGCTGTGCGAACACCAGAGGTTGGGATCGGAATGGCTCCGACATGCAGCCCCCCCGGAACCACCCTTCTCTTCCCAGCAAGCCCCACCTCGTTGTCGACCTGCTCCTTCAGAGCCGTGAAGGGCACGCCCAACAGATCCAGCTGGCCATGGCCTCGCCGCCAGATATCAAGGAAAGGGGTCTGCAGGAAAGCGAAGGCAGCCTTCATCACCCTCCGGGACATAACCACCCCGGACCCCTGCCAACATGCTAGGGACCCAGGTGGCGTTTTGCAGCATGAACAGACCAACAACAGGACAAGCTCCCTCTCTAACCAAGAACGCCAATGGAACAAGACACCGGGATGGGCAAGACTCTACGGAAGACACCCACACAAAAGCTGAAGGAGGTACGAGGCACAGAGGGGAAGGGAGACAGGCCTGCTGAACTTCCGGAGGTGTCCCCAGGGTCCCGGCGGGGGTGTGAGGTCTAGGACTCTCCTGGGCAGCACGGAGCCCCCCACCTCTCTCGTAGCCACACAGCACCCACCTGCACCCCTGTGCCCACTGGATCAGCCCGCAGGACCAGAAAAGCCCGGCTACCCCCCGTGGAGGTCACACTGACATAGTCCTCCAGGACAGGGGGCCGCCTCAGGACAGGATTTCGGGCTGCCAGCGAGGCCTGCAGGAGACCCGCATCGACACCAGCGTCCAAGGCCCTGGGAAGGGACAAGGGCTGTCTTGGGGCCTCTCACCTCCTGCTACCATGAGAGGAACCCAGATCCGCGCAACCACACATCCCTCCCACCCACCCTCCGCTGCAGGCCTCTGGAAACCCGTGCCCCAAGCCACACACCCCTTGCTCCGCGGTTCAGTGGGGACCTCGGGACTCGGTGGGGGGGTGATGTCCCCCGCAGGGGAGTCAGGAAGGGGCGGCTCCTCCATTTCCTCGGGCCTGAAGTTCAGCTTCTTGACGACTTCCAGCTTAAGCCGTTTGACCCTGGGGGCTGGAGAGGCAGACGGGAGGAATGGAGGCTCTTCCCCAGCCTCACACCCCACCCCTGGGCCCCGGGCCCCGGAGGACATACTGGAGGGCAAGGCCCTGTCCCTCGCGACGCGGCCGGCCAGCTGCCGCTTCCTCGCACTGCCTCCGCGGTTCTCTGGCGGTCCCCCGGGAGAGCAGGGAGTGGCGGCGCCCCCTCCAGCGGCGGCCTCCTCGAACGGCAGGCGGGACCGGCCCACCGTGGGCCAGGGGTCCCTGGAGGGCGACAGGGCCGCCGTCCCTGCAGGAGACATGGTTGACAGCAGCTGCGCCGGGTGGGCGCGTGCCCACTGCAGGCCAGGGCTCCCGCGGCGGCGCCGTTCCAGCCTCGCGCCCCCCCCCCGCTCCCCTCCTCCAGGAAGCCCTCCCGGACTACGGGGAACGAAGCTGCGGCAGGGCCCGCGCCCACCTTCCAGCTCGGCCAGCACCTCCAGCTCGTCGGCGAACTGGCTGTGGAAGTCGTCCTGGGCACCGGCCAGCTCGAGCTCCGGGTCGCCCATGGCGCTCACTCCCGTCCGACCCGCCGCCAGCTCCGAACCTCCCGCGCCGCCGTCGCGCGCCGTGCCCGCCCCCTGCGTCCCGGCGCCGCCAATCCCTGGCCGGCGTGCCCGGCGGCGCTCGCCACTGGCCAACGGGGAGAGCGGGGCGGAGGCGGGGCTGCGCGCGCAGGCGGGGCGGAGCCGAGCCAGTGCGGCGGCCCCGGACGCTCGCCATTGGCCCACATGGCCGCCCGTCCGTGGTGTGGGCGTGGTGTGGGCGGGGCTGCGGGCCCCGGCCGGGCCCTGTGAGGCGCGGCTCCAGGGTCGCCCGGTCGCCGGGCTCGGGGACCGTGTGCTGGAAGCAGGGACCCGCAGCGGCCTCGCGGGGCCGGGGCGGCGCGGCCGGGGTGCAGGTGGGTCTCGGAGTGGGAGGGGCCGCGGGAGGCCCTGGCGGGCGGCCTGTAGCCATCAGACGCGGGGGCGGGGTGCGGGGGTACCCTCACTCGGCTGACCTGGCCGGTCCGGGCCCTGGGGGCGCGGAAGGTCTTGCCCCTCCCCGCTGCGACGAAGGCTCTCGTGGCACGTTGGCGCGCTGTCCCGGGGGTCCGCGGCTGGGGCGCGGGCGCAGGACAGCTGGCCCGGCATCTGCGTCTGGGTGGGGTAGCGCCACAGTCCCCGCTCGGAGGCGGCCGTGCAGCGGGGTCTGGCGGTGCCCGCGCAGCGGGGCCGTGTGCCCGGCCGGCCCCGCGTGAGCCGCTTCCCATCCGCGACCCTGGGACCCTGAGGAGTCGGTGCCGGGCTCCCCGCGCGCCCCCACAGCACACGCTGGCCCCGCGCCGCAGGCCGCAGCCATGGACGCGGGCCGCACGGAGAACCTGTCGGTGGTGTACCAGAGCCAGGACTTCCTGGTGGTGAACAAGCACTGGGACCTGCGCATCGACAGCCGGATGTGGCGCGAGACGCCCACCCTGCAGAAGCAGCTGCGCCACCGCTTCCCCGAGCTCGCGGATCCTGACACCTGCTACGGGTTCAGGTACGCGGGGGCGGGCCCTGATGGCCCCCAGCCGCTGCTGCGGGAGGAAGCAGCCGCCCCCAGCCTAGCCAGCCTGACCCCCTGCCCCATGTCAGATTCTGCCACCAGCTGGACTTCTCCACCAGCGGGGCGCTCTGCGTGGCCCTGAACAAGGCGGCAGCCGGCCGCGCTTACAAGTGCTTCAAGGAGCGGCGAGTCACCAAGGCCTATCTGGCTCTGGTAAGGCCTGACTGGTCCCCCTGGGACGGGGATTCTGATCCTCAGCCTCTCCGGCAGGCCGTCAGGGCCAGGTGGGCTCCGCAGAGGTGGTGGGTAGCCCTGAGAGCAGCTCAAGTCTCTGCCCAGCAGGTGCGGGGACACGTGCAGGAGAACCAGATGACCATCAGCTACGCCATCGGCAGGAACAGCACCGAGGGTCGTGCTCACACCATGTGCATTGAGGGCACTCAGGGTACGCAGGGCAGGGCTGGTCACCCAGTGGGGGCCCTGAGTGAGCCGGGCTGGGGCGGGCTGGGGCTGGCTGGGGCTGGCTGGGATCTGCGCAGGTGCAGCCAGCCCTCACAGCTCCTCTTGCTTTCCACAGGCTGTGAGAACCCGAAACCGAGCCTGACAGAGCTGGAGGTCCTGGAGCACGGGCTGTATGCTGGCGCCCCTGTTTCCAAAGTGCTGTTGCGGCCCCTCACAGGTGTGTCCGGGGCCAAGGAAGGCAGCCACTTTGAGGCTGCTAATGGCGGGGCCCCCCTCCCCGCCACGTGCGCCAGCGTCTCTTCCCGAAGGGGACTGCGGGAAAGCGGTGGCGCAGGGGCACAGCAGCCTGCCTGGGGCCACTCCGCCATTTCCATTCCCCTCTACCCGCCCCCACCCCGTCCTGGGGCTTGCTGTCCTAGAAGGCCACAGGGGTTCTGTAGCGCACCTGGCATTGCCCTGACGGGCAGCCATCTGGAGGCTGACTCCTCTTCTGACTTCTGACGTTCTTATCTGTGACGGGAATCGGGGTCTGCCGTTTCTAGGGGTTTTATGGGGCTTGAAGAGGGCAACGGGGGATAGTGTTAGGGGTGATGTGAGTGGGTGAGGGACGGGCATGGCATGGCACCCCCACCCTACCAATCCCCTTGCCCCGCCTCCCCCCCAGGCCGGACACACCAGCTGCGTGTGCACTGCAGTGCCCTCAGCCATCCCGTCGTGGGGGACCTGACCTACGGGCAGGCGTTGGACCAAGAAGACCAGCCCTTCCGCATGATGCTGCACGCCTTTTATCTGCGTATCCCCACGCACACGGAGCGCGTGGAGGCCTGCACACCAGACCCCTTCGTGCCGGCCCTCGACGCCTGCTGGAGCCCCCACACCCTGGTGCAGTCTCTGGACCAGCTCGTCCAGGTCCTGAGGACTGCTCCCGACCCTGGTCCCACAGAAGGGAGCCCTGCGCCCTGCAGCACTCCCACGCCCCCCAGCAAGCCCCCCGAGACAGAGGCACAGCGGGCCTCCTGCCTGCAGTGGCTGTCGGAGTGGACTCTGGAGCCTGACAACTGAGAGCAGCAGGCTGGGCGGGAGTGGCAGGCTGGGCCCACGAGGGGGATGGGGGCTGCCGGGGAGAGCCCTGGGCCCATCCTGGGTAGGGGCTGTCCCTGTGTGCGGCCGCTGTGGGTGGAGCCTGAGGCCCCCACTGCGGAGACCAGACCCGGAGAGACGGGCAGGGCCAGCAGGGGGCGCCAGGCCGCCGGGAGTTTGGAGGTGGGCCCTCCCTGAGCACCTGCCCTCCTCTGGGAGGGGAAACCAAGGCCTGCCTTCCCGGCTCCCAAGCTTTGCTTCTCCGGGTTTGTTTTATGGATCTGCCCAGGGTCGCTGTCTCAGAGACAGAGCCCACGGTCAGGCCTCGCCTCCTCCTGGCCCTGGGCCTCTGAGCACCCTGCTCCGCAGCGCGCTCCTCAGACCTCCTGTGTCGGTCGGCCGCTCCCGGCTGGGTCCTCCCTACCTGCGGCCCGGATTCACCTGCCCAGCCAGTGCTGCCTCGTGCCTTTGCTCTTACCAGACTCTGCTTGTGGGCCCCCGCCTCCCCATCCACGCGGCACCTGGGGGAGGGTCTGAGCCGCGCCCCTGGGTCCTCTCCCAGGCCCTCAGGCTTCAGCTGGGAGCAGGGGTGGCTAGCACCCATCTTTTCCATCCCGAATGTCCTGTCCGTGTCAGCCTAGTTGTAGCTGAGCTACAGGGCTTCAGAATAAATACTCAGTGACTGACCTCATGAGTAACCGTGAATCCATCCGATGGGGAGGTTTTGGGGGCCCCAGACCCTTGCTCTCTTTCCTGCACTGGGCGGGTGTCTGCCCTAGGCCTCTCAGCAGGAGCCGGGATGGACCTTGTGGTCCTGGCTGGCGTGTCCGTCCCCTGCCGTGCAGTGAGCACGTGCAGCCGGTGCGGACGCTGGGCTCTGGGTGGAGGATGGAAGCTGGTCAGCCTCGTTCCCAGAGATCCCAGCTCTCTAAGCCAAAAGCAGTGGAGCGCCCATCTTCTCACCAGGGTCCCTCCTTAGAGCTGTTGTCCCCACATCCCCTTAGGCTCCTCCACCATGAGAACACCAGCTACCCTGCAGGGTGGGCACTCCTGGCTGGGGGTGGCCCTGGGAGAGAGTAGAGGGACGTGTGGCCAGCTGGGGACATGGGTCTGGACACCTTGGCCTGGTGGCGCCCACAGGCTGGGCCTACAGAGCAAACCCCAGGGAAGTTGGAGGGCTGGACAGACTGGTGGCCCCAAGGTAGGGAGGCAGGACAGGAAGGTGCATAGGGGTAGGTCCCTCCGGGGAATGTGTGTCGCCCCTCCCCCAGCCCTGTTGCTCCCCCTGAAATGCCTGCTTAGACCCTTGAGCCCCCCAGGACCCAGAGAGCCACCCACAGGCCGGACCCAGCTCTTGCTTCCTGCAATCAGCTGTCTCCCAGTGCCTTGGGGCCCTCGAGGCTGAGACTGTGGAGCCCAGACAGACATGGGGCACACACAGGCCTGTCTGTCCCCCAAATACACCCTAGCTGTGAGCGGGCAAGGTTTGGAAGGTGTGGGAGTTGAGCAGGGTCTCCTGGACAAGGACAGCAAGGCGAGTTTCCTCAGGCAAGCGTGGCCAGACAGACGGACGCTGCAGGTGGCAGCATGGGGCTGACCCGTGACAGGCAAGCTCTGGGGGGCAGGTGTCCTGGTGGGGCACCATCCAGGACCACGTACAGCTCTACCTGGTGCGGCTGGACTTCCATGGGGGTGGTCCAGGGCTGGGGAGCCGTCCTCAGCTGTGGGTCAGCGTGTCTGCCGGGTCAGCATGTCTGCTGGGCTGTGGGCCACGTGCAGCCCTACTTGGGGTGCTGGTGGCTAAACCAGGGTCCCGGGGCTCCAGGCTCGGTGCCTCCAGTTGTGCGCCTCCCAGGAGATGAGAAGAGTCAGGACTCAGTGCCCTGCCCCTGGCCCCGCCCAGCCCCTGGCCCTGCCTGGCCTAGCCGGGCACCTCCCACAAGACGTCAGAGCCCCCCCCCCCCCCCCCCCCGCACCCGCCGCTGGTGGAGCTGCCCCCATCCTGGGCCCCAGGGCATGTGCGGTACAGCTCTTTGCCGCTGAGGCCACATGCCTGGAGCCTGCACCCCTCTTAGTCCCTGGCAAACACCAGTAGGGACACGCATGCTCACAGAGCAGATACCGGGACACGCAGCACGGAACCCAGGTACCACGCTGGATCCGCGTGTGACTGGCATCCCGCAGGGAACACGTGCATCGGGCATGCACATAGTTGGTGCTCCCAGATGCACACGCGTGTGCACGAAACCACCAGCACTCACGACAGATGCAGACACGCATGCGTACGAAGGCACATCCGATCCTCGGGGCACAGACCCATCCCTGGGGGGAAGGGGTGTGCGCTGGGCAGCTGCCAACCGTGAGCTCAGCCTCCCGCTCCCCCAGGGCTGGAGAGCAGGTGTCTGCTGGGCTCAGGGCCCCCAGGGGTGGGCACGACAGCCTCACCTGACACCTGGACCCTCCCCTGCAGGCGTCGCTGCAGGAGCAGGCGGCCAGGCAGGCAGGGTGTCAGTGAGCCATGGAGGTGAGCAGGAAGCCCGGTGCCCCCACCCTGCACGGACGCGGTGGCCCGGTACTCAGCCGCAGGGGCTGACACACTCAGCGGACTGGGGTCTTCAGGAGCACCTGGCACCTGGCCTACATCCCCACCCCCCCTCCATCAGACAGCCACTGCGGGGCACAGGAGAAGCCTCCCTCCACAGCAGATGGTCTCCATGCTCCGGTGAGAAGCGAGGGCTGGGGCAGGGCCACTACCACCTGGACCCACAGGGCAGTCTCGGTGTGAACCTGGGTGGGGGGCTTCCATTCTGTCCCCTGCAGAGGACAGTAACTATCCTGGGCCATGCAGAGTCTAGAGCCCCTCAGGCATCCTGACACCACCTCACAGTTCGGGCCTCCAGCTGGAGACTGTACAGGGCCGCCTTCGGGGCTGTGGTGTGGGCTGTGGCCGGAGGCCAGGTCTGCCTGGGCGTGTGAGGCCCTGAGAGGGGAAGAGGACTTTCCAGGCCACCCAGGAATGGCGACAGGTTGGAGAGCCCCCAGGCCTCCACCCGCAGCTGCCTGCAGGGACTTACTGGGACCACCGCCCCTCCCCAGTAGCTGTCAAGAGATCTGTTTACTGGAGACACCGAAGCTACCGGTCCCAGGGGCCCTGACCTGTGATAAGAAAGGCCCCAGCGTTTGGCCCGGCCCCTCCTCTTGCCACTCCCTTTAGTTCCAAAGAGGCATTGTTTGTGGGGTTTGTGCCCCTCCCCAAAGACAAGAGACGGGGCTGCAGGGAGCCCTTCCTCTATGACCCTGGACGGCACCTCCCTCTCTGTGCCCTGTGCCAGAGAGGGCAGGGGACGGTGATGGGTGGGCCTCACCTCCTGTCTCCTCTCCAGCTTGTCCTGTACTCACCGCCTGTGACCCCACACCTTTCTGCCAGGACGAGCAGTGCACACCGCACGGCCATGGGTCCCCGAGCAGGTGAGGAGGCCCTCACCAAGGGGCATCTCAGACCCTCGGGGGGTAGGTCCCACGGCCAGGCTCCCTGGAGGTATCAGGGCCATCTGTGATCCTAGGCCTCTCCCAGGACCCATGGAGCCCCGGGCCGACCCTTGAAGGACGCCCCCAGCAGGCGGCGCCCAGCTATGCTGGGGGGCCGGCCGCTGCTCACGGCCCATTTTGTTCCAGGTGGTCAGGTGATCCCAGGCCTCGCCCTCCTCGTGTGGCTCACAGCCCACTGCTCTTGTCCCCAGGCCCAGAGCTCCTCCCAGGGAGGGCTGGAGGCCAGCGGGGATGACCTGTGGGGCAGGTGAGTGCCAGGTCACACTTCTGCGGCTGATCCTCTGGTGGGGGGGGGGTTTCCACCCCCGACAGCCTGGGCACAGCTGAGGCAGGGCCCCCATCACTCACTGACCTCACCCCGAGATGGCCCGGAGCTTCCAGAGTCCTGCATCAGACTTACCCACGTGGCCAGGAGTGGGTCCCCAGGCATCGCGCTGGACGGGGCTCCGAGCCCCTCCTGGCTTGTGCTGCTCTCCGGCCCGGTGGGCGGTTACTTCTTGTGCCGAGTCCTCTCCAGTTTCTTCCTCTGCCCCAAGACTAGGTGGCTCTCCCAGGTCCCAGAGACTCAATCATTCCCAGCCATTGTCCTGGGGCCTCGAGTGTGGGCTCAGCTGCGCTTCGCTTCCCTGGAGGGTTAGAGATCACTGATGAGACATCGAGGGATGGATTGATCTGGGTACTGATGAGGCAGAGTCAGAGGCCCAGGCTGACGTCCCAGAGGACGCCCTCCCCACACACAGACTCTGTTAGATAGATGCACACCAAGAGCAGCACTGAGCCAGAGGCCAGGCCCGCTGCGGTGCCCCAGCTGGTGCTCAGGCCCCATCTCCTCCATGCACTTAGCCATCGCAGGGACAGTGGGGCCCGCCCGAGCTCAGAGCCTGCCAGGACCCCAGAGTCCAGGCCAAGGCCACATCCAAGCCCTGCTCACAGCTGGGAGCCTGGTGCCTGCTGGGTGAGCACGGAATGAAACTGTGGTCCTGCATGTGCCCGGGGGCCATGGGCCACGCTTCCCGTGTCTCACTCCCTCAGAGCTGGCGGTGCTGACCTCGATGCCGCCCCTCACCACCTGTCCTCTTTCTGCCCAGTGCCAATACCTCCCTCCTGCATGCCTTCTGGTGCCAGCCGGCCAGCCAGCTGTCCCGGGACCAGCTTTCCACTCTCATCCAGGGGATGGCGACCCAGCAGGTCCCCCTCAGGGCCTGGCAGGTAAATGGCTGTGGCTGGTGGGAGTGGGCCAGGGTGGTGAGGGAAAGGGCCCACTTGCCGGAGACAGGAGGGTAGGAAGGGCGTGCCCAGCAAAGGACACGGGTCAGTGGGGGCCCACGGGACTGGGATGGGGCACGAGACCTGGCCAGCCTCCCGGGCACTTGAGACACGGCTGCTGGGTAGACTCTGACATGGCAGGAAGTGTGGCCATCAGAGGTTGGTTTTTCCCTCCCTTGGGTGACTCTATGGTGCTGCCCACTTGGGACCATTTCCAGGACTTCTCAGCCCGTTACCTGCTGTCAGGTAGTCAGGTAGTCAGCTGTTAGAAGTCAGACCCCCTGACTTCTATTCTTGGCTTGGGCGAGGGCTTGTCCAGCAGGCCTGCGCTGGCCGCTTCCTGCCTCCAGTGGCACACGGTACCCACACTGGGACAGGTCCTCTGGAGCCCTGTGGGGATCTTCCAGCCTCCTGGCCTCACCCATGTGGTCTGAGCCCACCTCGACCTGCCCCTGAGTTTAAAGAAACAAAAGGAAGAAAAGCTACTATTTTGCCCCGTTATAAAATTAGTATGAAATTAGCAATACATCTGAAAACCCCAAATTAAGTCCAATGAGACAAAAAGTCTAGGCAAGAGGTAGCACTGGGGTAAATTACTGAGCCATGGAGAGCCGTGGGGGGTGGGGGGGCTTTCAGGCTGGCCCTGATGCCTCCTGAGAAGGGCAGACCACAGGGCATCCAGGGACAGAGCCCAGGCAGACAGGGAGGGCCCCACGCCAAAGGAGAGGTTAAGACAGCAGAAAGATAGGGGCTGTGGGCCCCGGTCTGGCCAAGCCCGCGACATGCCATTGCCTTGCCCAGCTCAGCTGCCTGGCCAACCTGGCCACTTGGCACGGCCTCCAGGACGACTTCGAGCTCCACCCCCCCAACCTGCTGCTCTTCTACAAGTGAGTGCTGTCCCCCAGCCCCCAGCGTCCCAGTGCAACAGGCTGAGAGTGCCTCCTTCGGAGTCCCAGGGCCCCCAGCTCCCCAGGGACATCTGGGCCACCCCAGAGGTCCTCGGGTGGCCCCCACCATCCCAACAGCCCCCCAACCCGCCCACAGCCTGACGCAGGTAAGGGAAGCCACTTGCCGGGCCTTCATCCGCCGCGCCGCCCAGGGGGACACGGAGATGCTCGCCAACCTGCCAGAGCAGAGGTTCGCCCTGCAGCGCACGGCCTTGGCCTGCCTGGTAGGCGTGACAGGCAGGCTGGGACGGGACAGGGGGAGGGTGGACAGGCACAGGGCCGGCTCATGCTGACCCGCTGTGTGTCAGGGAGCACCCCGCCGACGGCTCAGTGCCTTGGACCTGCTGCTCCTTGGAGCCCTGGTGTGTGACATGCACGCGTCCCGCATCGAGACCGCAGACCCGCATGTGCTGGAGAACCTGCAGCGCTGCCACCGGCTGACGGCCCCCCAGCAAGCTGCCCTCAACGCGCTGCTGGCTGGTGGCAAGACCGTGCTGGGGTAGGGCCGGGTCCGGTGCCTCCACCCAGGCCGCCCCTCCTCGAGACGATCTGGAGACCCCTAATGTCTACCATCCTGCTGACCTTTCACCTGTCCCCCTGACCCTGCACAGCCTCAGGGTCCCACCACCCTCTAGACCCTCCAGTTCCCCTGCCCCCAAGCCTGGAGTGGGAGGTGTCCCCAGTAGGCAGGCCCTGCAAACTGGGTGCTCACAGAGGGGCTGGCCGCCTCCGGGGGCCCGGGCTCTGCTCCTGACACCAACCTGGTGCTCCCTTACCACATACCAGGCCTCCCGGTTCCTGGAACCTGGAGGGGCTGCAGGCCCTGGGAGCCCTGGCCAGCTACATCAGCTCCAGCCTGTGGGTACAGGTGCAGGAGGTAGGACCCTCTGCAGTGGGCTGGGGGGGGCGGGGAGGAGTGTCAAGGTGGCTGTGCACAAGGACAAGGGCATCCAGCCGACCTTCTGCCAGCCTGTCCAGTGTCCCCAGTCCCTCCCTGCCCCAGGGTTTCCGTCTGTGGGACGGGACGAGGAACCAGGCAGCGCCTGGCAGCCCCTCCCCGGGCATGGAGTCTCTATGCCCGCCTGGCCAGGCCATGGGCCTGGCCTTCTTCAGCAGCATGGTGGCCACGTACCGAGCTGGGCGGCTCAGCCAGGGTGATGCCAGCCGCTTCGTCACGGGCTTTCTCAAGGCCAAGGCCGTGTCAGTGTCCTCTCGACCCAAGCGGGGCACAGGTCAGTGTGGCCACCAGGGCCAGGGAATGCTGTCCCTCCCCTGCCCTGGACTCCTAACCCTGGGGGATGGGCACTCAAAAGACCGTCCCACCTGCTACTGGACCTCCTGGGCATGCCCAGGGGTCTGCATCCAGCCTGGGGTGGGTCAAGGTCAGGGTCAAGGTCAGGGTTGACTCTCTGGTCTGAGCCAGGTCTCAGCTAGAGGTCAAGCTCAGGAAGGAGTCAAGGGCAGGCTGAGGTTAGGAGTGAGGCCAGGCCCAAAGTCAGCAAAGGTCAGCTCAAAACCCCCACCCCTCCCCCAGACGCAAGGAGACCCTGCGTCCACGGGGACATCACGGCGGCCACGCTCCTCGACAACCTCTTCCTGGTGCGCTACGACTGCGTGCAGCTCGAGTCCTGCCTGGGGAGCCGCGTGCTCCAGGCCAACCTGGACCCACTCCTGCAGCACCCGCTCCCAGCAGAGTGCCAGCGCGTCGTCAAGGCCAAGCTGGCTCGGGTGCGCTGGAGACCGGCTGCGGGGGGCGGCAGGCAGGCGCCCAGCCCGGCCTGACCCTCCTGCCCACACAGGTATACCCGCACGGCATCCCCGAGGAGCAGCTACGACTCATCACCTCGCTGGTCTACCTCTACTCCCGCTCGGAGATCAGCCAGTGGAACATCACGTCCAGGGACACGGTCGTGGCCCTGCTGGCCTCGGACGTGGCCCTGGAGAACCAGACCGAGGTGAGGGCAGTGCAGGGGGCAGTGGGGGCGCACCGCCCCTGGCCCCGCTGACCCGGGCCCTGCCTGCAGGCTGTCCTACAGAAATACCTGGACCACAACGGCACCATCACCAGCGCCCTGCTCATGGCCATCGGGGGCTCCCGTCTCTGCTGGATGAGTGCCCGGCAGATCCAGGCCATCAGGCCAGTGGAGTTCCGGTGAGCCAGCCCGGGATGCGCCCACCATCGGCTCAGCCGAGGAGGGAGGGGCTCGGCCTGAGGTGTGGTAGGTTCCCAGGGCTGCACAACCAGGTACCACAATCTGAGCGGTTTAAAACAAGAGAAATTCTCCCGTGCTCTAGACACCAGGAACCTGAAATGCAGGGGTCCTAGGGCCGGCTCCCTCTGAAACCTGCAGGGGAGGTGCATCCTGCGTGGGGTGCCACCAGAACTCCTCGGCCTTGCCCGGGCCGGGGGACGCACGCCCCAGCCTCGGCCTCCACGGCCACACGGCCTTCCCCTCGGCACCTGGGTGCAGAGTCCCTTCCCCGCTCCAGTCCTTGGACTCGGGGCCGCGCTACTTCACTGCGATGTCGACTTCATCATAAAATCTACAGATAGGAGAGGCTCTGTTGAGTTTTCGGGCAGGTGTGAGTTTTGGGGGTACCCTGTTCCGCATGGTACGGAGGGCAAGAGGAAAGCTGTGGTAGGGACAGGCCAGGAGCACGAGGGGCGCCCAGCCCGCCCACCAGCCTCCCCCTCCCCCAGGCGGGCCGGGGCCCTGGATATCTCCTCCTGCCCGCAGAGCCGGAAGGACGCGCTCTACACCAAAGCCCGCGAGGCCTTTGGCAGTGCCAGGAACACAGCTAGCTACTACCGCTTCATGCGCCCCTACCTAGGTGAGACCCTCCCCTGTGTGCAGGCCCCCCTGTCCCAGAGGCCCCCTGCCCTGTCCTCTGACCACTGCCTGCCCCCAGGAGGGGCCCCCGTGGAGGAGCTGCGGCACCTGGCCCAGGCCAACGTCTCCATGGATATCGACACCTTCACCAACCTGAACCCGCGAGTGCTGCAGGTGGGCCCCCGGGGAGGCCTGTCTGAGGCATGGGGCGGGGCTGCCAAACCAGGGGAGGCCGCTGTCACAGTCTGCAGGCCCCAAGTACCCCAAAGTCAAAGGTGTGCGGTGAACCCCAGGTCACTTCTGCCAAGCCTCACCCCTGGGCTCGCTCCTCAGTTAAGTACTGCCCTGCCGGGTTCTGCCCCCAAGCCGGCTGCTGAGGGACCCTCCGGCCCTGCCCCCACAGCCACCCCTCCCTCCACAGAGCCTGAGTGTAGGCAACGTGACGACCCTGCTGGGCCAGAATGTGGGGGACCTGCAGAAGGCCCGCAGCCATCCCACCATCAGCTCCTGGCTCCGCAGCCTGAACACCTCGGCCCTAGGAGAGCTGGGCCTGGACACAGACGCTGCCAGCCCCACCGGCCCAGCCCGCTCCACCACCGGAACCCCGGACACCACACCCTGGGCGTCCCATCTAGCCCCCACCGCGGGCCAGCTGGGGAACAACGGCCCCACCTCCGGTATGCCCCAGACCCAGCCTCCCCATCGTGGGCTCCGCTGTCTCTGCCTGGCCCCGTCTGCCCAGGGCCTCTGCAGACCCCTGACGGCTCCCAGTTCCGCATCTCACACCCAACCTCCTACTCTGTTGGCCAACTCTCCTCCCTTTGCCTCCTTGGGGGACATCTGGGTGACCCTGGCTTCAGTCCTCACTGGCTGCTGAGTTACTGAAGGACCAAGTCCCCTCCTCCAACACCTGCTGAGCACCAGAAAGTGGGGGTGGGAGAAGCTTTAAGATGCCTTTCAGGGCCCGGAGCAGCAGCCTCGGTGCAGTCCCCACTGGCCTTCCCGCCCGCAGAAGCGCACAGGGAGGGCGGCCCAGGCCTGGAGGCTCCCAGCGGGGCCTGATGGGTGCTCATCCACGTCCCACCTACAGGCAGCGCACCAGCCCACCTGCGATATTGGCCACTCACTGCAGCCCTGCCCTCAGGCCTCCTGTGGCTGCTGTACTGGGGCATCCCGGGGCCGAGCCAGGACTGCTCCCGGGGCACCTGCACCAAGGCCTCCAAAGACAGCGCTGGCCCAGCGCCACATGCAGAGAAATTGGGGCTGGTAGGTGGAGCTAGACACCTGCTCAGGCCCCCGCCCAGGCTCCAGGGCCAGAGGACCTGGCCATGTCCCACCTCCTAGGGGCCTGCAGGGCTGGTCTCCACTCATACCCAGCTCCCAGGACATGGAGCTGGAATGATGACCTGGGCCCATGCCGTGGCCAGCCCCATACAGGTGGCAGAGATGCTGCCCCAGTCCTCTGGCCTCCTCCAGGATGAAGAACTGGTACGGGGGAGGGGGCCTTGCTGACTGATTTGAATAAAAGACAAGGTGATAATCCTGCCTGCATCCCTTTGCTCTGAGCCCAAGGAGGGACAGAGACCCTCCTAGCAGGGAATAGGACTTCCGTCTGCATCTCCTGGCCTCTGTCCCCAGAAGCCAGCCTGAGTGTTGGCCTGGCCTTGGAGGGAAGGCCCTGGGAATGGGAACAGTGGTAGGAGGGCCCTGAGGGCCAGTCCCCTCCCCATCGCCAAGTGCAAACAGGAGGAACTCCAACTCAGGGACCCCAGCTACCACACCCCGGGGTCAGGCCTTCCCTCCCGGTCCTCAGAACACCACAGGCCATCTCTGCAGGGAAGGACAGGGGCCTTTTATTGAACTCCAGTCCCCTTGGGGTGGACCAGGCAGGGTGGACCAGGCAGGCCGCCACGGCGGGGGCGATGTTCCGCATCCAGGACGGTGGCCTCACTTGGGGATCAGAGCCAGGAGCAGAGTGGGGATCGCAGTGAGCATTGTTCCGGGTCCCACAAGGCGGGCGCCCCCCGAGAGGGCCTCTGCAGAGAGAGTGACTAAGGCGCCCTGCATGGCTCCGCCCCAGCCCCACCCAGCAGAGCGCCCCAGCCCACCTCGGAGCCTGAGGTCCATGACCAGGTAGCCATTGGGGAGGCCACCGTGCAGCCCCAAGCCCAGACTGTCCAGGTCATCCTGCCGCTGCCGGACGATCCAGTCCCGCACAGGGCTCTTCTCCTGCTCCGCCTTCAGGCCCACCAGGTTTGGACCCAGAAGGTTTTGCACCTCGGCAACGGTCAGCGGCTGCCAGAGTCCCCAGGGGGCCGTCAGAGTCGCCCGGCCTCTTCCCCAGAAGCTGCCAGCCTCTGCTATGTCCAGACCTCCCGGTGCTTCCCGGGCTTGAATATCCTGCCTGGCCCCTCCAGACTTCCGAGCTGAGCCCAGCGCTCTGGCGGCCGTGGCCCCGCCCCACCCCCACCTTGGCCCCGCCTCCGGCCCCGGCCCCGCCCCCCGCCGTACCAGCACGGCCTCCGTCCGCAGCTTCTGGAATGTGGCCACGTCCATGTTCACCTTCTGACTGCTGAGAGCCCGCAAGTCCTCTGTGGGGGCCCCACCTGCTCGCGGGGAGTGGGGCCCCAAGCGTGAGACCTCACAACAGCCCCCAGTCTTATCCTCCAACCCTAAGGAATTCCTAGGCCCAAGGTTCCCCTGGGCTGGTGCAGAGGCTGGAGGGGGCTGGGACTCACAGGGCCTCAACCGACACATGCGTGTGAGGGCAGGGCCCATGGTGACCACCAGTCACACCAACAGCAGCAGCCTCGTGAGGCAAGACCCTGGCAGCACCTGTGGGGGCAGCCTGGGCCCTCTCGCCCCCCAGGGGCTCTCCCTGGCTCACCCAGGTAGGGCTTGATCTTCGAGAAGTACTCAGGCCCGCTCACGGTCTGGAAGGCGGTGCGGGCCCGGGGATAGAGGACGGCCATCTGCGGAGGGCGGCACGCATCCAGGTCCTGGGGCCCGGCTGCCCTGGGGAGGCAGCATGGGGCCCGGCGGTGAGCCGGGAGCGCATGCCCACCCCGCCCAGCAGGCCCCTGGGACTCACCGAAGGACGCTATGCTGCACGGAGCGCAGCTGCTCCGGACTGAGGAAACACAGGTATGCGGGGCTGAAGGTGGCCAGCACGTCCAGGGTGGCCTGGTCCAGCTCACCCCCGCCCGCCACATAGCGGGCGATCAGGGCAGCCACCTGCGGAAGGAGGCCACGGAGGCGTCTTGCGGCTGGGAGAAAGGCGTCCCCTGGGGGCCTGCACACCATCACCCCACCTGCTCCCTCCGGGGCGGCTGTCGCCCTACCTGAGCGTCCCTCTTCTGCCCTTTGCTGACTTGAAGAAGAGATTTCACGGTTTCCAACGACGTCACGTTCCACTTGCGGATGTCCGCGGGGCTGAGCTCGAGGAAGAAGTAGCTCAGGTTCTGGGTCAGGGACTCGGGATAGCCCTGTGGGTAGAACTACCCAGGGCGGCGGCTGTGAGGGCCACAGCCATGCCCTGGCTGCCCGGGAAAGTGCGGCATGGTGGGCAGGCCTGAGCTACCTCGTCCAGCTTGCGCTTAAAAATGTCCAGCTGCTGGTAGGTGAAGGGCACCATGTTCACGCGGTCCATCTGAGCGGCCAGCAGGGCTCCATCCACACAGGCCTCCAGCTCCCACTCCTCGTAGAAGACAAGGTTTTCATCGATCACGTGGGCCTTCCGCGCGGGCGGGCAGACCTTGCCTGCAGGAGCCGGCCGGAGATTGGGGGCTGGACTTCTCCAGTCAACCTCCTCCTCCCAAACCTTGCCGAGACCCTGGGGAACGCAGGACCCCCTCCAGGCCTCAGTTTACACATCGGCAAAATGGGTCCATTCTGTCCACTCTCCAAGCAAGCCGTGCAGCCAGGAAGGGCCCCAGATGTGTGGGCAGGTGTGACCCCACTACGCTACCCCCAGCCCCACATCTCCCAACAGCCAGCAGGCAGGGTGTCCCGCTTACTGTCTGTGTCCCGCAGGTCCCGCGAGAGGACAACAGATAGCTCAGGTCGCCACCAGGACAAGACCCGGGAGGTACCCTGCAGCCATGGGGTCATGACACCCTGAGGACAGAGCAGGGTTGCAGCTCAGCCGTGCTGGCTCAGGGTTCGAGGACCCCCCCCTCACCCGGGGCCAGACACCTCCTTCCCTTTTCCCGGAGGGACCTTACCAGTCTCGAGTCTGCAGCCTGGGCCCTGGAAGGTAACGCCCACCCTGCAGGGGAGGGGGCACAAGGCTTGGGGGGTGGCGGGGGACTCCTGGGTGTGCCCCACCCTGGGTAGGAAGGAGGCAAAGCTGGCCCCCCCAGACTTGGCACCCCATGATGTCACAGCCTACCCCACCCCAGGGAGCCCAGGCCTCCTACATCCTCCTCCTAAGACCTCCCTGCTCAGGGCAATCAGATACCCAGGTCACGGACACTGTCCCTTTGGCCTGAGCCCCCCTCACTCCCCCACAGCTCAGCTTCCAGTGCTGCACAGTAGGGAGGAACACAGCCACCTCTGGGAGCAGAGACACGGCTGACAGCCTACCTGAGACTCGGGGCACCTGCCCAGATTTGTGGTACATGCCAGGACTTGGGGCACCTGCCCAGATTTGGAACAATAGCCTGCTGGGGGTGGGGTGGGCACACGGGCACTGCCGGCCTCCAGGGAGGAGGCGTGGGGCAGGCAGAGCCTTAAGGCCCCTTGGGTGCTGTCTGATGCTCTCTGGCCCCCAACACTTCACCGCAGCCCACCCGTGTTCCTCACCGAGGCTGAGAAGCAGGAGCAGGAGGCTGCCGCCGGCAGAGGTGCCCCAGGACCCCCAGGCAGGCTGGGTGGTTCGCATGGCCGTAGTCTGTGGAGAAGAGCCAATCTGATATCCTCACCTCTTGGACAGGGCGCCCACCCTGCCCCCCGCCCCCACTTGCCCTGGGCCAGTGCAGGGCCTTATGGGGCTAGAGGGGTGTCAGATTCCCCGGTGGAACCTTCTCGGGCCCCTGCGGCGGCGTCTGTGGGGCCTCCAGCCCGGCTCTCAAGCCCAGCCAATCCACCTGGCCCCCCCTGCCGCCTCCGGGAAACTGGCCCCTCCTGCCCGGGTGTTGAGTCTGAGTCAGCCAGGCCCCCAGCGGTGAGAGCCCAGGAGGGCCGCGGGTGGCTGGTGTCTGTCCCCTCTGCCCACAGGGCAGGGCGCGGAGGGAGAGTTTAGTGCAAGAAGGCAGGGCCACTTCTGGTTCAGGCTGGCCTCAGTTTCCCCATTCACACCAGGGCTGGGGACAGGCCTGAGTGACCCCTCCCCACTCCCTGGGGCATGGCCGTTCTCTCCTCCCCATCCTGTCCCTCCCATGGCCCAGGTGGACAAGGCTGGTGGGGCCCCCTGCATTCCTGGTTTCCCTCCTGACGTCCCTCCCAAAACAGAGGCCGCAGTGGGTGGGACGCCCCTTCCTATGGGTCAGTCCCTTGAGTGGGGCAGTGGGTGGAAAGGCATTCCGGGAAGACCCTCCCACCGTGCGTTTCTGGAGTGGAGTTTAGGAGGCCTCGCTGGCTGCTGGGGGGGGGGGGGGCGGTCAGAGGGGGCCGCTCTCCAGGGAGTATGGTCCCCGGGGGAGGGCGGGGGCCTGCAGGAGACCTCAGCAGCCCTGCACTCACCCCTACCAGGGAGGCCCAGACAGGGAGGCTGCCCTGGCTGGGTAGAGCGGAGACATCCCCTCCCTGCATGCCTCCTCCCAAGCCTGTGTCAGCTCCGCCTGGCTCAGAAAGCGGGGAGGCAGCTCCTTTCAGTTGGACAGAGAGCCTAGCCCTCAGGGAGTGTCCTGGGGAGTGGCCCCAGGGGAGCCCTCTCCCCTCCCCAACCAGGCTCCCGAGGAGGTGGGAGGAAGCCAGACCCCCAGACCAGAGAAGGGGCAGTGGGGTGAGGCCCCCAGCCCCTGGATGGAGGAGGCCAGGCAAGAACTGTGCCTCCCCCTGCGGTCCCCCGCAGCCCTCTCCCCAGCCACATGTCACCAGGGAACCCCCAGCACCACGGGTGGGGGCATCCTGGGAGCGTCTGCAGGCCACTGTGGGCCCTGGAATCTGCGTCCTGGAATCTGTGTCCTTCACCTCCCCACCCCCGGGAGGGCCAGCAGGCGCCACAGAGGCAGGTCAGCCGTCCCGTGGCTCCAGCTTCCCAAGTGGCCTACAGCTGACCTGCCGTTTCAAGTCTGTTTCTGCCAGCCTGGAGAGCCCGCGCTTGCGTGTGACCTGGAAACAGTCGCCAACCCACGCTGTGTCTCCCTGGTCATGGCTGCCGGGAGGTGTCCTTCTCTGTCCTGTGTCGTTTCTTAAAAAGGCCAGCTTAGGGGTGCCTGGAGGGCTCTGTGGGCTAGGCTTCTGCCTTCGACTCGGGTCATGATCTCAGGGTTCTGGGATCGAGTCCCCACAACGTGCTCCCTGCTCGGCGGGCAGCCTGCTTCTCCCCCTGCCTCTGACCCCCTCCCCAGCTTCCTGGTCTCTCAGTCTGTCAAATAAGTAATTAAAAAAAAAAAAAAGCCAGGTTCGTGGGTCACAGCAGGGGCAGTATAGAGAAGGCATCAGGGACAGTCCCATCTCTCACCCCGAGTCCTCCGTGGCTGGCACCCACCTGGTCTCCTGTGAGTCCCTGACCACCCACACGCTGGCTGAGGGCCTGCGGCATGCTGGTGTCACACAGACCCGGGGGTGCGCTGGAGCCAGAAGGGTTCGGGCCCTGCCCCCGCCTGCCTGCGCCTACCCTGCACGCCGCGTGTAGTAGAGGCGGCTGCGGCTGTGACAGTCACGCTGGCTCCTTCCCGCAGCCCAGAGGCCTGAGCTCCCAAGGCTGGCAGGCCACCCCTTGCAGAATCGCCCAGCCCAGCCCGACCCCCTGAGGTCTGGCCCTCAAGGGACGGAAGTCAGGCCACGCTCCCTAGCTCAGGACCCTCTGGCAAGAGTGGGCAGGGAGCAGATGACTGGCTTAGGGTGCTGGCCTCCTGGTCACATGGTCAGCCATAAGCACAGAGAGGCTCTGCAGCCAGCCCAGGGTCACACAGCATGGCCAAGCATTCGGGGCTGGGGCAGAGCCGACCTGAGGGCACTGCCATGGGAGCAGAGCCGGCGGGGGGTAGTGGGGGCTGTCTTCGGCACTCCCCAAGGGCCATGAGGACCAAGGGAGGGGAGGCCATGAGGATCTAAGGTGGCACAGGGCACAGATGCCCCCTGGCCTGCTTCTGGGGGGGGTGGCCCAGTCCCTCCCATGTAGGTCCCCGGAAGAGCCTCGGCTAATTCCTGCTCCCACTCAGACCTTCTTGGCTGGAGGTGCCAGGAGTGCTGATGGACACAACCCCCCTCACCTCCCCAGGCACGCCCACACAGGTGACCCAGACCGACTGGGCTGTTGTCCCTGCCCCACACGGAGGAGGCCATGGTAAGCTCCTCGATGCTGAACACTGGGGTGGGTCCCCGGAGGCCCCTGGGACAATCCCCCAGTGCCCCCAGGCCGGTGACTGTTTCAGGGTGATGGACCGACCCTGAGCCTCTCTGCCTTGGCCTCAGCTTGGAAGTGAGGTGGTCAAAAGCTGGCAGTCCCCCAGGTCTGTCACGGGAGACCAATGAGGGCTTGCCAGGCCGCAGGAACGTGTGGGTGGAGGCCCTGCGAGGAGCCCCCCAGGGGGAGGGGTGCCCAGGGCCAAGCGCTGCCCCAGCCCAGCCTTTCCGCAGTGGGTTAGGGTGGCAGCTCCCGCCGGGCCTGGACCGGGCACACGTTGCGAGCTGAGGCCTCACTTCACCGGCTTGCACACTCCCATTTCTCCCCCCGAGAGACGAGACTCAGTGGAGCAGAGTGGCCGGGACCGTGAGGCAGAGCAAGGGTGTGGCGTCCCAGCTGGGGCTGGGGCAGGGTGTCTGCAGGCCACCCCCCCGGCCGGAGGTCAGCAGATTGGGTGGTGGCTGCCCAGCCAGGGCGTGACTCCCCAGGGCATTGGCCAGAGTGGGAGCTCTTGGAGCGAGTTCTAGGCTCACGGCAACGTGACCCAGACATCGCTGGTAGTGGGAGGGGCTTGGATTCGAGCCCAGGGGTCACAGAAGGCAAATCCACATCAGAGCGAGCTCCAGCAGGCACCCAGCACTGCCCTCCATGGTGGTGGGGCCATTGGGGACCTGCCAGCCCCCAACACTGGCACTGATGGGAGGTAGAAGCCACCTTCCTGTGGCCGTGGCACTGGCCAGTGAGGACAGACAACATGAGCCTCTGATCTGGCCAGATGCCGGCATCTGCACATGGGGTGCCAGCCATGGACCACAACCTCGTAGTACACCCTTGAAGCCAATGTCCCCCGGTGGCTCCCTGCTCTCTCTCCAGCTCCTGCAATAATTCTGTGACCAGAATTCCCTGTGGAGAGCCTGTCTCTGCGTTACATACCTGCAAAGGCTTCTGTTTGCTAAGTCGTTCGGAGACAGGTGCCTGGGTCTCATCTTCTTCTGTGGGCTGGGCTTCCTATTATACGCAGCCTGGCCAAAGGGCTATTCAAACAGAATTCAGCAAAGCTGCCTGGTACGAGAAATCAATTTACAGAAGTCAGCAGGGGAGTATATGCCTTAAAAAAAAGTCTCACCTGTAGATAACGACTAAAACATTCTGGACAAAACGTAAAAATAAATCCCCGAAGGTTCAGGGAAATGAACAAAAGTCGGCAGATTTTGAAGGGGAATCAACACCTGAGGGAAGAGATTTCCATGTGTGTAGCTTTACCCTGAAAACAACCAGAGGCAAGGCTGCACTGGTCCCAGCTCTCAGGCTCCTGGAGAGTCCCCCGACCCCCCATTTTTCCAGGCGAAGGAGGAAGGAACCCAGGATAAGCAGACACCAGAGAGTGAGTGGAGAACTCCGGAAGGGAAAGTGCCAGAGATGGGGACCCAGATTCTGTGTTTGAAGTCTACCCAAGACTCCTGCTGACCCCTGAGTCATGCATGTGCAAGGGATACCGAGACGGACCTCTAACCCCTCAATGTTTGCAGACCTCACGGCGCAAGCCTGAGTATGTTCATTGCCGCAAAACAAAAGCATCCAGTGTCTTCACAGGAACATAACAGAACGCAGTGTCTCCACAACCTGATGGTCACAGCGTTCATGATAAAATCCAACACTGTGTTCACTACACATCACTTAAGAAAAAATCCAAACTACTTATCAGAGGAAGAGCCAAGAAACTGTGAGTCATCCTCAGAGGGAAGGAATCCACTGAGGCCAATGCCACGATGAGTCAGTTACTAGAATTATCACACAAAGTTTTTTCTTAAGATTTTTTTTTTTTAAGTCCTGTCCACACCCAACGTGGGGCTCGAACTCATGACCCCGAGATCAAGAGTCACACAGCCTGCCAGCAGTGACTGAGGCTTCCAGGCTTCCATCAGACAGACCGGACACAAAGCGCGTTAGAGACCTCCACATGGCAGAGCGTGTAGATAGGAGCTGACCCAGGAACAAGGCCCAGACCCAAACTGAAACGACCTGGCATTGGTGGGTAACCTCGGCTTCATCAGAATTCAGGATTCCTGTTCAACAGACACTTGGTGGCTGACAGGGAGATGTGAAACAGGGTGCGGGACGCCTGACACCTTGCGGCACCCCCAGCTCGGTGGGCACCCGGAACACGCAGAGATCAGGAATCCGGCAGCCACAGAAATCCCGGTGCAAACAGGGATTCACGAAATCAGAAGGGTGGGTGGTAACGGGTGCTGATGACCTTCCGAGGGACAGAGCAGCAGCAGGGGCGCAGACGCATGGAGCGGAGCCCTTGCCTGGCTCCCACCGGCCTCCCAGGCAACTTTGCAACACGGAGGCGCGTTCCCTCCCAGGGTTGGTCCTCAGCGCCTCCTTGGCCATTGTGGGTGGCACGCAGGTGCACCACCAGCTTCTCCTTCCTGGTGCACAACCTCTGTTTGCCCTTGCTCGCCGTCAAGCGTGGGCTGTATTTACCTCCAGGCTATTGCTGGCCCTGTCACTCTCCGGGTGAACAAAACGAATTTGGGACTGTTTATTCTGCACAAGAAGAAAAAGCCTTTTTTCTTTCATGTTGACATGGCTAAATCTGTTCCTCGTCAGGGGTGGTGTCCAGTCACGCCTGAATAGTCACTCCTGGTTTGAGTGCTGGTGTGGACATAGTTCACTGTAATCTCATCATCCCGACTCCAGGGCTGACCAACCAGCAGCCCCAGCAGGACCCAGGTTCTCAGGGGTGGGGGTAGTAGCATCCGTTGCCTGAATTCCGTAGGCTATCTCCTGTCTGATTTCTTTTTTTTTTTTTTTTTTTTTTTTTTTAAAGATTTTATTTATTCATTCGACAGAGAGATCAC